AGGCATTTTCAGCAGCTGTTGAGTGGCGAGAGAAGCTCCACTATGTATCTGTGAAACCAAAAAATCTGAGACAAGTCTCAGTTAATTTAGAAGGTTTATTTTGCCAGGGTTGAGGAAGCGCCCATGACACAGCCTCAGGAAATCCTGACAATGTGTGCCCAAGGAGGTCAGGGCACTGCTAGGCTTTATACATTTGAGGGAGACAAGAGACATCAAGTACATTGGTTCGGTCTGGAAAGGCAGGACAACTCAAAGCAAAGGCAGAAGACTAGAAGCAGGGAGGAGCATTCTTTTGAGTTTCTGATGAGCCTTTCCAAAGGAGGTAATCAGATATTTCTCTATCGGCCGGGCGTCGTGGCTCATGCCTGTAATCCTAGCACTTTGGGAGGCCGAGGCAGGTAGATCACAAGGTCAGGAGATCGATACCATCCTGGACATGGTGAAACCCCGTCTCTACTAAAATGCAAAAAATTAGCCAGGCATGGTAGCATGAGCCTCTAGTCCTAGCTACTCAGGAGGCTGAGGCAGGGGAATCGCTTGAACCGGGGAGACAGAGGTGGCAGTAAGCCAAGATTGCACCACTGCACTCCAGCCTGGCAACAGAGCAAGACTCCGTCTCAAAAAAAAAAAAAAAAAAAAGTTACACATCTATCTCAGTGAGCAAAGGGATGACTTTGAAAAGAATGGGAGGCAGGTTTGTCCTAAGCAGTTTCCATCTTGAGTTCTCCTTATTGATTTTAGGGGCCTGAGATTCTTTCCTTTCACACATCTGAAATAATGAATTTAGGCAGCTCCATCCCTAACATGTGGAGGCCAGGGCCTCAAATGGAAACCCACATACCATGTGTCTTAATATCTTAACATTCTAAAGCAAGCTCAAAAAGCTATCAAATCAAGTGTGTCTCATCTCCCCTCCTGAACAAAACACCGTCTTACCAACCTGGAAGCCAGGTTAGCATGTGTGATTCTCAGAAGTTCCACCCTAAAATGTAGCAGCCTGGGGACAGCCAACCTCCTGTCCCCAGGCCCCTCCCGCGAGCTCCTCTCCTTCTCCTCCCACCCTTGCACACCCCAATTCCAAAGGCTCTCAGAAGAATGCATGAGGCTCCACATCACTCTGCCCACAGCCCTGCCAACATTCACCCCTTGGCCACACCACAGACCTAGGGGTGCAACGGTAACAGCGACCTTGGGGCAAAGTGCAGTCAGTCTACAGAAGGAACAGAAGCCTTTGGCCTTGTGGACACATTGCTTCATGGGGAGGGGCACAAGCAGAGGAGGAGCAGGCCTAAGAGAGGTCCTAGGCTTAGGAAGAGATAATTCAACAATGCTTGTAAATAGATCAGTGCTGAGCAATCCATGATGGCCTAGGTAAAAAGCTCTTAGAGTCATTGCCAATGGATTTCTTTCTTTCTTTTTTTTTTATTTTGGAGACAGAGTTTCGCTCTGTTACCCAGGCTGGAGTGCTGTGGCACGATATTGGCTCATCGCAACCTCCGCCTCCTGGGTTCAAGTGATTCTCCTGCCTCAGCCTCCCGAGTAGCTAGGATTACAGGTGCCCACCACCACACCCGGCTAATTTTCGTATTTTTAATAGAGATGGCATTTCACCATGTTGGCCAGGCTGGCCTGAACTCCCGACCTCAGGTGATCTGCCCGTCTTGGCCTCCCAAATTGCAGGAATTACAGGCATGAACCACCATTCCCAGCCATTGTCAATAGATTTCTGAAACTGATAAAAAAGACCGTGACCAATGTGAGAGGATCATCCTGCCCCGCCCCAAGCCAAGGCTCAGCTGAATCTGAAACGCCGAACCCTGTGTGCACCCCTGCACCCCACTGAGCCAGAAAAGGTCCCAAGAAGACAGGACTGTTTCCTATGATGAAAACTGATGGAAACTCGTCACCCTGGAAAGGGAAAAGATAAAAGCGAAAAGAATTAGAATCTGTCATGTTCTTTAGGATGTGAATGAGGGGAACGTGGATGGACTACCCCTCGCATTTTGCAATATTTTCCCTAGAAAGCACTTCTTAAAGCCTGAGGAAGTTAGATTCTAGATGTAAATTATTAAAACCACTGCAAATAACAAACAGATGAGTTCTCTAACCCAGGAGGAAATAAAAGCTGGAGAGGTTCAGGAGGTGGGTGGGGGCACAGTCAGGGGACATCCAAAGTCAACACCACGGACAACCTCATGGTCAGCAGACACTGATACGGATTCCCTTCCATGCCATTGTCAGAGTTTAACAGTGGCTGGGCCTGACCCAAGGAGGCCAGTCAATCTCTATGCTTTTATGGTTTTATTGTTTTTATGTCTTTATGTTTTTACAAGTCCAGCTAAAGTCTGCATCTCCTAGTCCTTTTAAACAGCCTTTAATTCTTGTCTTTGGGAAGAGTCCACTGTCCACTTTGAAACTAAGGCATTGGCTGGGCGTGGTAGCTCACACCTGTAATCCCAGCACTTAGGGAGGCTGAGGCAGGCAGATCACAAGGTCAGGAGTTCGAGACCAGCCTGGCCAATATGGTGAAGCTCCATCTCTACTAAAAATACAAAATTAGCTTGGTGTCGTGGTGGGTGTCTGCAGTCCCAGCTACTCAGGAGGCTGAGGCAGAAGAATTGCTTGAACCTGGGAGGTGGAGTTTGCAGTGAGCCGAGATAGCACCACTGCACTCCAGCCTGGGCGACAGAGTGAGATTCCATCTCAAAAAAAAAAAAAAAGAAAAGAAAAGAAACTAAGGCATTTATCCACTCACCCATTCATTCATCCATTCATTGAGGGTACCCGCCTCTGGGTGCATGTAGCATTCTTCTCAGCTGTTTATGATTTTCTTTCAAAGCTTTCACCTGAACTTCCAAGCTAATTATTGCCCCTACTCCCTCCCAGTTCAGACCTCCCAGAGGAAGATGCCTTCCCCCTCTTTCCCAGGATCTGCTTTTCTTTGAAAAGTTGTCTGCTCCTTGCTCTAAGGCCAAGTGTGAAAGACACATACCAGCCATCTGATTTTGTTTTCTTCTATAGACTGTTTATTTGGGATTCTCCCATGCAGGAAATCTATGGACATCGTGTTAGTCCTGGTCTTCCAAAGAGGAGAGTTAGAAAGGAATTAAGCCAGGCACAGTGGCTCACACCTGTAATCCCAGCACTTTGGGAGGCCAAGGTGAGCAGATCACAAGATCAGGAGTTCATGACCAACCTGACCAACATGGTGAAACCCCATCTCTACTAAAAATACAAAAATTAGCCAAGTGTGGTGGTGTGCACCTATAATCCCAGCTACTCAGGAGGCTGAGGCAGGAGAATTGCTTAACCTGGGAGGCGGAGGTTGCAGTGAGCTGAGATCAAGCCATTGCATTCCAGCCTGGATGATAGAGCAAAAGTGCATCTCAAAAAAAAAAAAAGAAAGAAAGAAATTAAATGTGCAAGAGTTTTACTGGAGGAAATGCCTATGAGAAAAACAGAGTAGATGCCAGGGAGGCCGGGGGAGCCTTCACACCATGATGCAGGTTGGATCCCCTGTGAAGGAGAGAGGTCAGAAAGGTTGTGTGAAAGTATCCTAGACCGCCGTGGAGTCTCTGGAGGGTCGTGCAAGGCCATGAGGGAGTCCTTGAGCAAACTCAACTATTAGAGGGGTCCTGTGTCTCCCAGGAACAGGGCTGTCTCAGTGTCCCTGCCTTGCTCTGCATTTGGCTGGTAATTGCCCATAGGAAGCATGACTTCTGTGCAAATACAATAATGATGCATTTTAGAGCATGGCAGTGGGAACCCTTTGTCATTTATACCCCTGTGGTAGGAACCCTAAAGACACATTCTCATGGTCACTTCAGATGCTCATAAACTTGGGTTGGGGGGAGATCTCCTCTGTGCCTTCATGCCTCTTCAGTGACTTCAGTGGAAAATCAAGACTTTAATGTGTTTGTGTGTCTGGGTGTATGTGTGAGTGTCTGTGTGTCTGTGTGCATGTGTATGTGTTTGCATGTATGTATGTGCGTGTCTGTGGCTGTGTTTGTGTTTATATTTGTGTGTATATTTGTGCATGTGTGCATGTTTGTGTATATGCTGCATGTCTGTGAATGTGTGTGCCTGTGTGTCAGTGCCTGTGTATATTTGTGTGCATGTGCCCAAGTCTGTATGTGCATATGTATGTATATATATATTTGTGTTACACATGTCTCTGTGTGTTCATGTGTGTCTGTGTGTGCGTGTCTGTGTGTTTCTGTTTCTGTGTGTGTACACGTGCCTCTGTGTCTCTGTGCATATCTGTGTACATGTGTGTTTCTGTGTGCATGTGTGTGTGCACATGTGTCTGTGTGTATGCATGTCTGTGCAAATGTGTTTCTGTGTTTCTGTGTGTGTGCATGTGTGCTTGTATTTGTATATGTGTGTATGTGTTGGTATATGTGTGTACATGTTGGTACATGTGCGTACATGTTGGTACATGTGCGTACATGTTGGTACATGTGCTTCCGTGTGTGTCTGTGTGCATGTGCACATTCTGTGTGTATGTGCATGTACATGTGTGTGTTCTATGTGTATTGCATGCATGTATGTGTGTTTCTGTGTGTACACATTTTGTGTGTCTGTGTATGTGTCTGTGTGCATATACGTGTCCTCTCTGTGTGTGCATGTGTTTGTGTGTGTGCTTGGGTGTTCTGTGCTTCTCTGTGTACATGTTTTTTGTGTATGTGTTGTACATATGTGTCTGTGTATGTATGTATTTCTGTATGCATGTGTGTTTCTGTATGTGTCTGCCTGCATGTGTGTGCTCTGTGTGTGCATTTCTATTTGTGTGTGCATGGGTGTTCTGTGTGTGTATATATACATGTGTTTTTCTGTGTCTGCATGTGTGTCCGTGTCTTGTGCATGTGTGTTTGTGTGTGTGTGTGTGCATGTTGTGCACATGCGTGCTTAGAAAAAACCCACTCCCATAGCCACAGGGACATCTCTGAGGCTGACTCACATTGCAGCCCCTCACCCCTCTCTCTGTTGCTCCCTTCCAGACCATCCTGGTGGGTGACAGTGGCGTGGGAAAGACGTCTCTGCTGGTTCAGTTTGATCAGGGCAAGTTCATCCCGGGCTCCTTCTCGGCTACTGTGGGCATCGGATTCACGGTAAGCACTGGCCAGCACTGCCGGCTCTGCACCTGGGCTCAGGGCCCCAGTGTGTTTCTGTTGAGCGCCAGCAGGAAACAGGTGGACACCACTCACATTGGCTCATTCATGGAGAATTAACGAGAAGACTGTTCCCTGAGGTGCACGAGGGTGTTGGGTGGCCAGGAGGGAGGGTGAACTGCCCCTGCGTAGTCCAGAAACTCCGCTCACCTCTAGCCTCAAGCAGGAAGGGAAGCCACCCTCACCAGAACCCAGGGGCAAAGAGGACTGTTGGGTGAGCCGCCTGGCAGGAGCTGCGTGGGACCTTCAGTGGATGGACCAAGCAGCCCATGGGAGCCCCCCAGGGAGGCGGCCAGGAAAACAATCCCCTGTTCCTCCTCACTCTCCTACTGCTCCCCATCTCCTTCTGGGGCTCCACACTGGATGAACGCAAGTGGAAGCCAGAAAGCAAAAAAAAATCTTCATATGGGATCGCTCAGGTCAGCCCTCCAAGGCAACAAGATTCCAGAGGGACAAGAAGATTCCGGAGGGACAAAGGGACTACAAAGTTTTCAGCACAGTCCAAACTTAGCATTGATTGACACACGGGTCTCAGGGAGCTGGCAGACCAAGGTTACAGTTCCGTGTTTAGCCCTCAGTAAAATGGTAAAAGGGCAGCTCTGGTTAAGGAAGCCCAGTGCCCTCCCAGTGCCCTCCCAGCGCCCTCGACTTTTTCTGCCCACAGCCCCTTACCAAGAGATCCCTCCTCTCCCACACATCCCATCTCCAGGCACTGTCCCATGCCTGCGGCTGCAGCTGCCCTAAAATTCCTGGAAAGACCTTGGAAGAGGGTTCCACTCCTCTCCCAAGGAAAGACAGGAGGAGCAGGGCCCTCCCTTGGGACCCCCGAATCCTAGCATCCCGAGATGGAGAAGAGCAAACATCTCTTCTTGGACAACGCAGATGTTTGGGAGCTTCTGGGACCGGAGCACAGAGCCTGTGAGGTCACACTCGGGGTTGGGTCGCAGCAGTGCCATGCTGATGGGAAGAGAGAGAGGAAAACCCAGAAAATGGGCTTGCCCACTGGGTCACAGCCAGGAAGACAGGGGTTCAGAACGGACACGGTTTCCTGGTGACCTTCCAGGAGACAAAGTGGAAGCGAGAACCTGACTCGGGTGTGTTCTGGGGCCTGGAATCATTCCTGAAACACCAGTGCCCAGGGCTCTCACCCGACTGGGAGCGGCTGGGCTCCGGTAGTGCTGAATAGGGCAGCGCTGAGACCCAAGAGGCCAAGGCTGCCTGGCAATCCCTGAGGTCTTGAACCACACTGCCATGAAGCAGACCAGGATGACCTGGTGCCAGGCGTCACCCGCCCCAGCCCAGGCCCAGTCTGCTGTTAGCAGCCAGGGTACACCCTGCCCTCAGGGGCACACCACATCTCTTCAAGATGTGGGGTGAATGTGGCTGAATCAGACATACAAAATCTGATTCACATTCCACAGACCACAGAGGTGAGATCTCCAAATTTTGCCGCTCGCTTGGGAAGAAAATTGGGGCTGATTCCTTTTGAAGGAAAAAGAAAATGTGTGGTCAAACTGTGAGCCCAAAGCTCTGAGACGGGACAGGCTGGGCTTTCCCCCTGGACATAGCCAGCACCCGACATCCTGGTGTATCTCAGGACAAACCCGTTGGCTGCTTACACTGAGTGGAGGCCTGAGGCCCTGGCCAGAAACTCAGTCTGGGGACACCTGAGCAAAGAACTGGAGGATATCAGGGTCTCCTCCAGATAGCAGCGGTCTAGGGGTCCCCAGAGAGCCAGGCTACCAAACAATTATTTACCCATCTGTCCTTCACACTGAGGTTTGATATTGCATGGATAAGGGCCCTATCATCGGCCAGGCTGAAGCCTGGAATTCCTGCGTGATGGGAAGGGAGGCAGAAGCTCCCACTGGCTCCACTCAGGAGGCTGAGTGCGGCCCAAGTACCAGGGGAAGAACGGAGTCCCTGGTCTCCCACTTTGGAGGAGCCAGAAGTGAGCAAGGTAACTGCCTGGGGCATGCCTTCACCCCATAAACTACCAGACCCACTGCCTTCTGGAAGTGGGATCTCCCCAGGTCCTGCGTAGATGCCTCTCAGCCAAGACCTTCCCTAAATTCTCCAACACCACCTCTATCAAACTGGCTGTGGGGGTCCTGCCGATGCGGTTATGGGGCCCTAACGTCAGTAGGGTTCACCAGCCAGCCCCTCCCACCACAGTTCAGGTCCTCCTTATTACCTCTCTCCTCAGTTTCCCCCAAATTCCCTAGTCTTGCCTTAAGACTGCTGCAAAATTCCTCTTTCAAAACCTTCACTCAGGCCAGGCACAGTGGCTCACGCCTGTAATCCCAGCAGTTTGGGAGACTGAGGTGGGCAGATCACTTGAGGCCAGGAGTTTGAGACCAGCCTGGCCAACATGGCAAAACCCCATCTCTACTAAAAATACAAAAATTAGCCAGGCGTGGTGGCATGAGCCTGCAGTCCCAATTACTCAGGAGGCTAAGGCAGGGGAATAGCTTGAACCGGGAGGCAGAGGTTGCAGTGAGCTGAGATAGCGCCATTGCACTCCAGCCTAGGCAACAGAGCAAGACTCCATCTCAAAAAATAAATAAATAAAATACCCTCACTCTGCTCATCCCCTGCCTGAATGTGTCCGCAGCAGGTGGGGTCCCCATGGCCCACTCCCCCCGGGGAGGACTCACCCAAGGCTGCCCTTGAACACCCTGCAGGACGTTACAGAGGCCCTGGGGAGAGTGTACGCACCCTCCAAGTATGACATTGCCCACACACCGCAGACCCAGCAGGCCAGACAGGGACTGCCCAGAGGAAAGCCTGCAGCTCCTCTCTCCGTGTTCAAGGACTTTGTCCCTCGATCAGAATCCTCCATTCAAACTAATGCAGCAATGCAGCAAGGAAATTTCGCTGCTCCTTCTGGATGACCCACGCTGATGTTCAACCCTCTCTATTCCAAACCCACCAGAGGACACAGAGGGCCTTGGAGCCAACAACACAAACCACAGCTGGAGGCTGGAAATCTGAACTCAAGGTACCGGCAAGGCCACGTTCCCTCTGCAGGCTCCAGGGAAGGGCCCTTCCTTCCTCTTCCGCGGCCCTGGCGGCTCCCAGGAGCCCTTGGCATTCCTTGGCTTGCAGCCGCATGGCTCATCTTGCCTCTGCCTTCACCTGGCCGTCTTTCCCCTGTGTCTCTCTCTTCTCATGACACCAGTCATACTGGATTAATGGCCCACCCTATGCCAGTATAACCTCATCTTAATGAATATCTGCAATGACCACATTTCCGAGTAAGGGCACGATCTGAGGGGCTGGCGGTTCACGCTTCAACCTATCTCTGAGGGACACAATTCAACCTATAACAGCATGGTTTACAGTAGAAGTTGAGCACGGGGCACGCCCCCGTCCCCTCTCTCATTCTTCCTCCACTGTCTACCTCCTGCAATGAAAACCCGCATCCAGATCAGGCACAGTGGCTCACGCTTGTAATCCCAACACGTTGGGAGGCTAAGGTGGGTGGATCACCTGGGGTCAGGAGTTCAAGACCAGCCTGGCCAATGTGGTGAAACCCTGTCTCTACAAAAATTAGCCATTAATGATGGTGGGCACCTGTAATCCCAGCTACTCGGGAGGCTGAGGTGGAAGAATGGCTTGAACCTGGGAAGCAGACATTCAGTGAGCCAAGATCGTACCATTGCACTCCAGCCTGGGCAACAGAGCTCCATCTCGAAAGAAAAGAAAGAAGGAAGGAAGGAAGGGAGGGAGAGAGGGAGGGAGGGAGGGAGGAAGGGAGGGAAAGAAAATTGTATCCCAGGTCGGGTGCAGTGGCTCAGGCTTGTAATCCTAGCACTTTGGACTTTGGGAGGCCAAGGCGGGCATATCGCCTGAGTTTAGCAGTTCGAGACCAGCATAGTGAAACCTTATCTCTACTAAGAATACAAAAATTAGCCAGGTGTGGTGGTGGGTGCCTGTAGTCCCAGCTGCTCCAGAGGCTGAAGCAGGAGAATTGCTTGAACTTGGGAGGCAGAGGTTGCAGTGAGCTGAGATCCCACCACTGCACTCCAACCTAGGCGACAAAGTGAGACTCTGTCTCCGGGAGCCCACGGCGTTAGCAGACCTGGCATTATTTGCAGCAAGAGCCTCTGGCATCCAAATAGCAACCAACACCACGGCTCTGTAGCGGGCTGTGCAGCCTCCTCTCCGGTCGGTGGCTCCCTGTTTGAGTCCCGACCTATGCGCAGCTGAGGTTATAGCATGCCCACCTCCAGAATAGGTAACACACTTCTTACTCGAGATCAATTCTGTCCCCACTCAGGGCACTTCTCCCAGCTGCCAGAAAATAGCTCCAGCTGATGTCAAAAACATACAGAGCTGGGGGCTGGTACACAAAGTCAGTCCCCACAGGCCTATGGTGGCCCATAAGCCACGTCTGCCCCTGCTCCTCACCTCCACACCTAAGTTAAGAAGTGCAGGCCGGGCACAGTGGCTCATGCCTGTAATCCCAGCACTTTGGGAGTGTAGGAAGGGGAGGATCACCTGAGGTCGGGAGTCTGAGACCAACTTAGCCAACATGGTGAAACCTCGTCTTTACTAAAAATACAAAAAAAAAGTAGCCGCTTGTGGTGCCGCGCACCTGTAATCCCTGCTACTCAGGAGGCTGAGGCAGGAGAATCGCTTGAACCAGAGAAGCGGAGGTTACGGTGAGGCGAGATCGCACCACTGCATTCCAGGCTGGGCGATAGTGTGAAACTCCGTCTCAAAAAAAAAAAAAAAAAAAAGGTGCCGGTACCCCTCTGCAGCTCTCCTCTCCCTACACAGCCCTCAAACAGTCCCTCTGTAAAGCACCCGTCCTGTTCCTTGGTAACCTGAAGCTGCTTACAGAATGTGGAGATGGGGGTAATGGAAAGGGCGGCCCAGGTCACAAAGCCCCTGAGCTCTGCTACTGGCAACCCCAGACACACTCCCCACTCTCT